AAGCTAATAATTAACTCATCTGTTTTATAGTAAGTACTCTGCGGTTATAATCGCTGTTTCGTGATTAACTCCAACATTTAGAATTAGGGATGTGACGACGACGATTTTGTTGGTTTAAGCGGGATAAGCGCTTGAGACATGAGGTCGAACTTTCGATCTGATTAGTAAGTACAGCCGCAGAATTACTTTACTCCCGATCGTTGCCAAATGTTCCTAAAGCAAAACACGTATATTTGTAGATACGTATGGTGTATGAAATATTATCGGCAGGTCGTTCGGAATCAATCAATGTTGTGTAATTAGCGCTTTACTGCTGCCCCATTCAACAATTACAGCCGCTGTCCTAAACCAGGTGCTTAGAGATGGGATGTTACTGTCGATAGTATTAGTGTATCTGAAGATATATCAGACTTTTGTTAGTGTAGTGTGCAGCACGTACGTTTGATGTCTGAAAATCACTGATAATATTTTTAATTTCTACCTACTCTTCAAATCAAAAAGCTTGGATATTCTGATGAGTAGCAAAGGTAGTAGAAAATGTAGTCCTCGGCGACTATCCCGGCTCAATAGTCACCGCTGCTTATGGACATCGACAAGGAAACTGGCACAGTCACACCGTTCAGGAACTACCATGAAGGGGAGTTCACTCCAAAGCCGGACGTGACGTATATCTTCTGATCCCAAACAACGTTCAAAACCTTAGATTATTTGTTCATATCCGGATTATTATCATTTAGCTTTCTCCAAATAAACTTAGTCAAGAAATGTTCGGCAAATTCTATCGACAGCGTGACGTCGGCGCTGGTTGAGCCCCGCCAACCGTACCCCCTCCCCCCTCCGCCCTCCTCGCCCCGCTCTCAACACAATCAATCTCGTGCTTAATTCAGCGATGGATTTGTAATTAACAAGCCTTTATTATAAGAGGCTTTAGGTCCAGTTCACACTGGTTGCGATAGTGATTTTTTTGTAAAGAAAATTATTAGAATCGTGTGGCCCTGAGCTTAAATTGTAGTTAGTATATTTAAGCCCGCGTTCACCGGTTACCGTCCTCGTCGAACCCGCCGCTTGCGACGAAGGGCTCGACGAGCGAATTAATCCATAGACACAGCCCACTGGGCTTCTCAGTGGGTCGTGTTTTCTATCCGGTGGTAGATTCTGCGAAGCACTGCTCTTGCTAGGGCCAGTGTTAGCAACATTTCCGGTTTGAGCCCCGTGAGCTCACCTACACGTTAAGGTGAAGCTTAAATAGCCTCTTAAGATCTCTTAAGATGATAGACTCTACTAAATCAATGCACTAGAAACTTTAATCTCAAATATCAAGGTGAGTTATCTTATTACAATGCTCACAGCGTCCGGTGACTTGGAGAAATATCTCGTACTTCTTTTAGAAGGGAGGGATTACTGGTGGTTGAAGTCCTGTCCAGTTTCACGATGGCAAGTGGAACGAGGAAGAGCCCAGTTGGGAGATGTATCTCATGTTAAAATTACAAAAATGTTCCTAATCAATTATATTATCAAGCAATATTACTGGTGGTAGGACCTCTTGTGAGTCCGCACGGGTAGGTACTATTTCTGCTGTGAAGCAGTAATGCGTTTCGATTTGAAGGGCGGGGTAGCCGTTGTAACTATACTGAGACCTTGGAACTGATATGTCAAGGTGGGTGGCGGCATTTACGTTGTAGATGTCTATGGGCTCCAGTAACCACTTAACACCAGGTGGGCTGAGCTCGTCCACCCAACTAAGCAATTGAAAAAAACTGTTGGTACAATTTTCTCATATCTTCGCAGCCATTGACAAGTTCTATTGTTTTCAATACTTATTTAAATTTAATAATCCTTTTTTTTTCTTCAAAATGTCAATAACAAAACTAAAATAAGGTAATACAAAGTGAATTTCAATCTTGAGGTATCAGTGATTACGGTCGAGTCTCGAGCGTTATGAGAACGTCAGCTTATAAAATTTAGCTGTTTTCGAATCTCGTGTCCACATCCTAAGGCTAGTTAGTTCCCAGTAAAGCTATAACAACTTCGTTCGAAGTTTATTAGTTAAATTATCATTTTCCTTATCTCTGTGTTCAGTCTGGCTTGTCTACATTTTTTTTTTGTTACTTCCGACAACCGTTGTAATGTTTCCTTGTAGGACTTGGTATTTAAAAAAATATCGACTTATTGCACAACAGTCGACCACAACATGCGATACAGCGCTAAACTGTCATATCGTCTTCTCGTATTAAAACTGTATCATCTCAAAATTTACTAATTTTACGATTTAAGATAAAATTATGTGTTAATTTTGTTAATAATAGTAGTAAAATAAACATATGTAAACTAAAAAAAAAACTAAAACTAAAGTACGCTCTTTTGACAGTATTTATGAAAAAAAATACTGGTGATACCAAATGATTCCGCATATTAACTCAATTTCGAATATTTTTGGAATGAGGTCCTACCATCAATAATATTGCTCGATAATATAATTGATTAGGAACATTATTGTAATTTTAACATGAGATACATCTCCCGACTGGGCTTTTGCTCGTCCACTTTCCGTGGTGAAACTGGAAAGGACTTCAACCACCAGTAATCCCTCCCTTCTAAACGATACGAGATATTTCTCCACATTTCAATTCTAATTCTACAGATAATTGAAGTCACCTGACGCTCACCGTGATATTTAAAATGAAAGTTTCTAGTGCATTGATTTAGTAGAGTCAATAGGTGGGCTTTTTTTTCCCTACCTATGCTGATAGCCTTAAGAGGCTATTTCAGCATCACCCAAACCGAACAAAACTGCTAACACTGGCCCTAGCAAGAGCAGTGCTTCGCAGAATCTACCACCGGATCCGAAACGCGACCCACTGAGAAGATCCGGCGAGAAACTCAGTGGACTGTGTCTGAGGGCTAGATAGCGTAAAAGTTAGCTCATATTTGTATGGAATGGGATCGTTTGCCTATGTTTGCCGCTAGGGGCGCTGTTCCAACTGCATACAAAATTGAGTTAACTTTTACGCTATCGAGAACGTTAAGAAACTCGCACTAAGCATACAGATGCTGGAGCCATTGACAGTAGCCTGTAGTAGGTGTGTGGGATCGGTCTTTGGCGAGAAGAGTACGTCAACCTTTCAATATGGTTTTATTGTCATCGAAAAACTTCACCTTAAATATCGCGTGCCAACTGTCTCACGACAGTGTTGCTATTAATCGACAATTTGTTAATGCATCTATTTAATTGTCATTCGTGTTCATACCAGTGCAGTACTTAAGTATCGACGGAGCCTGTCGTCTCAAGTTTGTGATAATAATCAGTCTATTCTATCCCTTTCTTCTAATGATGTAATTTTTGTCAACATTCTTTTTTATAACAATTTGGAAACTAGTGGTAGGACCTCTTGAGAGTCCGCACGGGTAGATACCAGCACCCTGCCTATTTCTGCCGTGAAGCAGTGATGCGTTTCGGTTTGAAGGGTGGGGCAGCCGTTGTAACTATACTGAGACCTTAGAACATATATCAAGGTGGGTGACGCATTTACGTTGTAGATGTCTATGGGCTCCAGTAACCACTTAACACCAGGTGGGCTGTGAGCTCGTCCACCCTTCATTTAAAACATTAAATTGTTCACCATTTTACAGAAATCCTAAACATTATTAATCGATATACAAAGTAATTCCGCCAATAAAACTACTAAAATGCAAGAGAGCTACAGAAACACGAACCAATCGAAAAACACAATTACGTACGCAAACTACAATACGTTTCGGCAACAAATAAATAAAGAGTCTCCAACAAAAACAAGACCAGTAGCTCATTACTGTTAAGGTCGGGCCTCACGCGGGCCGACGCACGCTGCGGCAGCAAAACGACTAACAGACGCGAAACGGAACAAAAAAACGGAATCCGGTCGCGTGATTGGTCGATATGTCTCTGCTGCGGTGACGTCACGTACGCCCCGCCCCTAACGACCGTCTCCTACCTGAGATGAGAAGCATCGCCGTCTTTACTTGTGTGAAAAAGACAATAATATATTGACGATATTGTTCTTGATTAGAATGGTTGTAACTGACGCTTGTACCGCAATACATTCTGAATTTTATTTCTAGTCGCATTAGGGTCATAAATGTTTGGATCTGTGGAGATTTTGCGCTGATGGATCTGTACGGAGGTGGTCAGTTGGAAAAGCTGTTATTGTTTGGTTATGGGTTAACCGATTTGGTTAAATTTGTGTGTTAACAGGCAGATGTCCGGCTTAGTTCTGTCTCGTTCTACTGTATTGTTTTAGAGGGAGAAGCTGGCGTTTGATTGGTTGCTTATTGATTAGTTAGATTAATTCGTATTGAGTTCATTAGCATTCGGTTAATTGGAAATTTCGTGTGGGTTTGTGCACTTTTGTTTGTGTGTCGATCAATTCATTACCTAATTACACGTTAATTGAACTTTGTTATACTATTTACACATGGAGTTGAGAGCTTGAATATTTTCATGTATTTATTGATAATTGGTCACTAGTTACCAAATAAATAAATGAATAATTACTAATTAAATTAGTGTTTTAACTATGTTATCTACTGAAGAGCTAAAATGAAACTTAGTACTATTTTACACTTTACAAAAAATAGCCTAATGTTTCTCTTGAAAATTACCTTAAAAATAAAAAGTTTTCAACAAATCAAGGAGCTGAAACTTTCTTCAATACTCGAATAAAAAATAATGTAAACTACATCCCCGGCTAACGCGCCCTCAAAGAACGTAACAAACTCGCGCCGACACCGCTCACAATCCACCCAATCAAACAGAAAAAAAAAAACTATTCATCTCAATAACCTTCAAAGGAGCGGAGAAAATGCTAATACGACGCTTCTTGCAAACAAAATCACATCGCGACCCCAAATTTCGCACTTTCAATGGGCAATTTCGCTCCCCACCAAACGGCGGCCCCGCCCCGAAGTCTGGCTCGCCCTTAACGACTCGCTCGGCGGCAGTTTCGTTTGGGACGCGGTGCAGGATGGACGCGCCCGACGAGCGGTTTTTCGCGGACCGTTCCCCGGATCGCTCCGATACCAACAGCCCCCGCTCGGCCGTCAGCACGCCCAACTCCAACTCCTCAATAAACGTGACCGACCAGTCGATATCCCTGTCGCAGCAGAACTTGGAGACTCTCAACCGCATGGGAATGTTCTTTCACGCGCAACAAATGCAATTGAATCAAAGTTTTGACGTGAAGCGGCTCGGCTTGACCCAAGTGCCCGGTGCTAGTCAGGGCCCAAGACACAGTATAGACGCGATCCTCGGCCTCAGCTCTCAGAGGCAGGCCAGACTCAGTGAGTTCGAGCAGAGGAGAGAGGAGTGCGACCCCGTCCCCGTCTCCCCGGGAGCCGTCGAAAGCGCTGGTGAGATATGCCCACTCTATTACTCTTACACGTCCTCATGCAAACCTCCAAACTGTGCTCACCCGAACTGTGTACATATATTGTACTAGCGGCCCGCCCCGGCTTCGCATGGGTAATAGCGCACGCGATGTAAAAAAAAATATGTTCACGTTGGGTTACATTATTGGAGTTCCCTAATTTTTTTGAAAATATTATAAATACATATAGCCTATGTCACCCGGGGATAGCGTAGCTTTCCAACAGTGAAAGAAATTTTCAAATCAGTTCAGTAGTTTCGGAGCCTATTCAATACAAACAAACAAACAAATCCTTCCTCTTTATAATATTAGTATAGAAGTATAGATTAGTTGTTTGGTTCATTGGTATAAAAGGTTTTACGGTATCAAGTAATAGCTAAGATAAACAAATGCGGTTAGCTCTAGGTGTGACGAGACATTTCTATTAGGTTTTTCAATTAAAATCGAAAACGTTAAGTTTAGGTCCAAAATGAAATTTTATTCACAAGACCACGGAAGACTTGAATACGTACCTGATTACAATCCAGAAATCACGTGTAGGCGCTTTTGTTAATATAGCGAGAAACTCAAATATGCTATGTACTTTCTGACTAAAAAGTCTGTACTAAGTCACGAATTTGCTGTAGAACTCATGTAAGCTGTGGTTGAACTTATACGGACTAAATCAAGTCCGTTGCCGCCGATGTTGAAAGCTGCTATCCTATTGTACTTCAAAGCTTACTAAAATTGCAAAAACTGCATTAACTAGAGTCGAGTTAGTTCGGTAAAAGGCTTCGTTGGGAAAGCAAAACAAGTGAAATAAAAAAGAAGCAATAGTATTTTAAATATTCTACATTTTTATGACCTAACTATTTTTGGATTTAGGGACTTGCGTTCAAGATCATACCTGATATTTGTAATGTTTGTACGGATTAAGAAAACTACAATTATAATTTGTTCTTAAAACATTTAATTAACATGAACAATCTTTTGAAGACTAACTTACTATTATTAAGCATTATCATCTCGCCTGGGACACAGTAGGTATGTATAGGTAATATATGTAATGTGTTCAAAAGAGCCTTTGAAATATATTGTTACACCGGTAATAATCATTGACTTCTTAGAGCAATGGTAGTATTGAAATACATTACACTAAGCTAAAGTAGTTGAGCAATTAAAAGCTTTCACCTAATGTTACTTCAACCCTTATTCATTATCCAAGTATAGGGTATATTATGATGAGTTTGTAAAATAAGCTTAAAAAAACATGAAATAGTAGATTAAACGTCATGGATGACGTCAATGATAGAACTATGCAGAGTAAAGCTCATCTCTACTATGTGAAACCACGGCGATGCGATGCTAGGGACCATGTTTGCCACTGACTACGTCATCTCCTAGCTTAAGATGCGAGGTCGAAATCCCAATTGTACTGTACAATGGGTGACGCGAAATGAACTCTTGTCCTCCTTCGCCAATATTTACCTAGTCAGGTCATAAGTATTGTCACACAGTAAAAACTTTTCTTTTAGAATGCTGGCCACAAAAAAGTTTATTGAATTCGAATTTCGAATTGTTCATGAAAATAAAAATAGTATACATTTAGAATTTTACTCATTTTTAAATATGGTGTGGACGCTTAAAGAAGACCGTGTTGCAGTTATTGCGTTGCATCGTTGCGGTTACGCGCCAATTCAAATTTTTAACATACTGAAAAATTTGAATACAACCAAAAGATTCGTTTATCGTACCATCAAACGATACAATGAAGACTCTAGTGTAGATGACAGGTCAAGAAGTGGTCGCCCTCGGTCTGTTAGGACTCCAGCAGTGATAAAAGCTGTGAAGGCGCGAATTCAAAGAAATCCCAAACGTAAGCAGAAACTGTTGGCCCTTCAGATGGGGTTAAGCAGAACCACGGTGAAAAGGGTGTTAAATGAAGACTTAGGGCTTCGGGCATATCGAAGAAAAACAGGACATCGTTTGAATGCTCGTCTAATGGACCTGAGACTGAAGAGATGCCGCGCTTTGTTGAAGCGGTACGCGGGAAAAAAATATCGGGAAATTCTTTTTTCGGATGAAAAAATTTTTACCGTAGAAGAGAGCTACAACAAACAAAATGATAAGGTGTACGCACACAGTAGTGAAGAAGCGAGCAACCGTATTCCGCGTGTCCAACGAGGTCATTTTCCATCCTCGCTCATGGTATGGTTGGGAGTTTCTTATTGGGGCTTAACAGAGGTACATTTTTGTGAGAAAGGTGTAAAAACGAATGCAGTTGTGTATCAAAATACAGTCCTGACGAACCTTGTGGAACCTGTTTCTCATACCATGTTCAATAACAGGCACTGGGTATTCCAACAAGATTCGGCGCCAGCTCATAGAGCGAAGAGCACACAAGACTGGCTGGCGGCGCGTGAAATCGACTTCATCCGGCACGAAGACTGGCCCTCCTCCAGTCCAGATTTGAATCCGTTAGATTACAAGATATGGCAACACTTGGAGGAAAAGGCGTGCTCAAAGCCTCATCCCAATTTGGAGTCACTCAAGACATCCTTGATTAAGGCAGCCGCCGATATTGACATGGACCTCGTTCGTGCTGCGATAGACGACTGGCCGCCCAGATTGAAGGCCTGTATTCAAAATCACGGAGGCCATTTTGAATAAACTTTAGTGTCATAAGAATCTATGTTTTGTTAAGTTAATTTTCGTATATTAATGGTTACATAATGAATAAACTTGTTTCAATTATTTTACATTAAACATGTGACAGAATTTATGACCTGACTTTTGGTTTTCGCGTTTGGTCTTTTGCAAATGAGGTATGATTTTAACAAAAGTGCAAAGCAATGGCTGTCTTAGCCATCACCAAGATTGTCTCACCCCTCCCTCGCAACAGAACGTAGGATTTTGTCGCGGCATCAATATCAGCTGCGCTGAAACACAGTGCGAGATAATATCTGCCACGCACCCGACGACCCTGAAATGAACTTTCCGTCACGTCCTGAACGCTATATGTCCTTCTAGAAACAAAGCTTGAAAATATATTTTTAATGCCTCTCTGTCTGAACGAGGTCACCCATCAACTGTTGTTTAGTGGTTACTGCAGCTCATAGACATCAATAACACAAATACCCCCACTCACCTTAAGGCATGAGTTCTAAGTCTCAGTTTTTAGAGTAAGAAGGTGGGCTGACAAGACACCCTACTACCAGTCAAGTCTTCAACGCCAGGTGTATGTGCCTAGCTTGGGATCACAGCCCACTGAGTTTCTCGCCGGATCTTCTCAGTGGGTCGCGTTTCCGATCCGGTGGTAGATTCCGCGAAGCACTGCTCTTGCTAGGGCTACTATTAGCGACACTTCGGTTTGAGCCCCGTTACATGTTAGGGCGAAGCTGAAATAGCCTCTTGCTTGTGATTGTTGTTGAAGTGATGATAACCCTTCTTGATTAGGTGAACTTGAATACTCTTATTGATTTTAAGGGCAGTAGGAAAATAATCGATTAAGATGTAGACGCCCTCCCACGTGGGCTCCATGCTGTGAATGTTAAATGGTCGTTATTATCTCAAGGTGGACGATGTCTATTGCGCTGTCACGTCTGTTGACTTCAGTGACCTCTTAACGTTAAGAAAACCACGAGCTTGTTTGTTCAATGAACCAGTTAACTGTTTTATTGGCTAGCTCAACATATTTACGTAGATATCGCTATGGTTTCTACATGAATATATTGTTTTGAGATGCTCTACATAGTCATTAGAAATTTGGTTGATCTTATTCCGCCTAGAGGCAGATACGAGACCTAAACTTTCACAATTAACTTTCATTCTTAGTGTATCTCAGTGTACAGTGTGGACTGTTAAGTGGGAACTGCGCCAAGAGTGGCACGTGATTATGAGCATTGACACTGACGTTTACAAATATTGTCCGAATCATAGTTTGTAATTAAATTTATGATTTTGACCAGTAGTCGCAAATATGGGCAACTAATTGAAATCGTCCGTTCTAGTCGTGATCTGGTGAGGCGGGAAGACCGTTCGACCTGACTTCGAACTGACTTTTTAGTGGAGGTAAGACCTCTTGTCAGTCCGGGCGGGTAGGTACCGCCACCCTGCCTATATCTGCCGCGAAGCAGTAACGCGTTTCGGTTTAAAGGGTGGGGCAGCCGTTGTAACTATATTTGAGACTTTAGAACTTATATCTTAAGGTGGGTTGGCGTATTTGCGTCGTAGATGTCTATGTGCTCCAGTTAACACCAGGTGGGCCGTGAGCTCGTACACCCATCTTAGCAAGAAAAAAAAACATTCAAACTGAAAAATTGAGAAAATATCCCTTGTAGCCTTATTGATTTAAAAATGCAACAGTAGCCGTTTGTTTTATTAAAAACATACAACCCACACGTAGTCTGAGTGAGTCCTAGCACACAGTCATTGACTTAGATGTATACTGTACTTGAGAGAGTGAACGGCCCAGCATCTACTGGAATCCATAGACACCACAGCATCCAGACCGCCACACACCCTGAGACACCTGACACACGAGGTGCCAGTCACAACTAGTGTCCAAACATCATGGCCGTCTTACCCTTCCATGCAGAATAAAACCAAAAGTCCGTAGTAGTAATACCTGTAAGTGATTAGTTACGTTTTACAAGGCATTAGCGTGTCAATAGATCGAGTGATAAATAACTCGAACTGTATCCGCTTGTGAAATACTTTACAGAGCTCTTTCATTCTGTTTTATTTATTAAGTGATCACGTTGAGAGGTCATTATTGAGTTGAGATTGTTCTTGATTATAATATGGGCCATTTGTGAGCACATGTCACGTTTCCCTCCCTGGAACCTCGTCAGGACGTGGTAACGTGGTGGTGAGGTTTGTTGTGAGCTTATGCTGGTTTGTTCCCCACATACCTATTTCATCACAATACCTTTAAACATGGATATTGCACTCCTCCTCCTAGATGCGTCGATAATCCTCAATGCTGAGGATCGTGGCTTCCTC